CAGTGTAAGGCTGTGCTCTCTTCACTGGCTATTTATGTTCCTGCAAGATGACAAAGTTCCTGTAGCAGGTGTCAAAATTCACATGGATCAATGCTATTAATTATTATATAGATAGGCAGCTCAATATCATTCCTTTGGTTTGTTTTTTCTCCTGAATAACCCAACAGCTGAAGATAAAATACCTTTTCACAATGATTATACACCATCATAATCCAAGTGGCCCAGGAGCAGTACACCCAAATCCAGAATTGCATTCTTTCCAAAGCACATAAAAAAAGAGACTTTATCAAAAGTGTTCCAAAATGTGGAAAATCAGACAGCTGCTGAGGTTGAACTCTGTAGGGCCACCATCCTCTTGGCGCTAGGAGAGATAAACTCAAGGCAAGGACAAAAGTTAAGATATCCTGTCTGGGCATTCTGACCGCTCTGGCAAAACAATGTAGCAAGGACATTGCTGTCGAAAAAAATGATAACTGAGAAGATTGTGTTACTAAGGGGACAGGGGCAAAGGAGTCCAAGTGGAGAATTTTGTATGGAACAATAAATACTGGCAAACTAGTGGAATAAACAGGTTTTCTTGCATAGCATGGTCTGTGTCTCAATCCCTTTACTAAATCATAACATACAGACCCTCAAAGGGGGCTCTGGAACGTAAAAGGAGTGGGAGCTGATCGAAAGATGACTGGAAATCTAACAGCATTAAGAGCATGAATGTGTTTGCCAGCATTCTGAGGCATCTCACTCTCGGGATTAGATTGAGTTCCAACCATGGTATGAACAACTGTTGTGGTTTTATACTGGCCCAACACCAGGCACCCGTGAGAGTTGCTTGCTCATCCTCCCCTGCCACATCTGGGCAGTGGAAAGGGGAAAAAAATTAACAAAGAAGTCATGAGTGAGATAAAGACTGGAAGAAAACATTTAAGGGCACAAGGAGTTCAACTTAAGGTTGCAGAGTGAGTTTATTACAAACAGAATCAGAGGTGGGAAATGAGAAGTAAAATAAGCCCTTAAAACATTATTTCACTCCAGCCTCTCCTCCTTCCCACTGACAGCTCAGGGAGACAGGGCATGGGGGTTTTGGTCAGTTCATCACTGAGATTCTCTTCTGCTACTCAGGGAGAGGAGTCCTCCCCCTCTGAGGTTATGGGGTCCCATCCCTAGGAGACATTTCTCCGTGAACTGCCCTGGCATGGGTCTGCTCTCAAGAGCAGCAGCCAAATGTCACCTGCTGCAGTGTAAATCCCCCTCATGAGCACACAGCCTCCCAAAACTGCTGCAACATCGGTCTCTCTTCCCACGGGGTGCAGTCCACCAAGGACAGGCTGCTCCAGCCTGGAAGCAAGGGCCCCCTCTCTCCACCAGGTCTCCCACTGGATCACAGCCTCCTCCAGGCATCCACCTGCGCTGGCATGGGCACTGCCCCCGTGGGCTGTGAGTGGATCTCTGCATCCCCCATGGATCCCCATGGGCTGCACAGGCACAGCTTCTTCACCATGGGCATCACCACAGCCTGCAGAGGAATCTCGGCTCTGGCACCTGCAGCCCCTCCTCCCCCTCCTTCTGCACTGACCTTAGTGTGTCCAAGGTGTGTTCTCACCTCCTCTTCTAACTAGAAGAAAAACTGTCTTTGTTTTGATTTTTTTATTAAATATGTTAGCACAGAAGCATTACCAGCCTCTCTCATTGGCCCAGTTTTGGCCAGCAGCATGTCCATCTTCAGAACAGTCAGGGATTGGCTCTGCTAGAAATGGTAGAAGCTTCCAGCAGCTTCTCACAGGAGCCACCTCTGTGATACCCTGGCTACCAAAAACCAGGCCATGAAAAACCAATACAACAGCAATATTTAATCAGTAACAGATTCATCATACAAGAGGCTTGGGGTCTTCACCAGGTGAATCCCACTGGCAACTAGGAACGGACACGTTCTCATACGCCATCTTTCTCTGGTGTCATTGCCCAGTCCCTGCTATGAACTGTTACTGGTTTCCTTCACACAGTCGTGCAGAGCAGCTGATGGAAAGTGATCAGAGTTGCATTTGCCTCTCCTGCAGAAACTTTGCATAAGGTGTTTCACCTCCTTTTAAGTGATCAATGATTCACCAGAGTCAAGGAACAAAATGCAAAATTAGATGCAAGTGATAGTGTAGATGAGTTTTAGTTGTCTGATATATAACTGAATTTGAAAGCTAGAACTCTTTTCCAAGTACTTTCTTGCATTTCCTACAATTTCCTCCTTCAAAAAAAAAAAAAGACCTTTGACTTTTCTTCATGAAATTATTTCAGGTCTTCATTTGGAACTGACTTGTAAGATCGATGTCTTGGCAACAATCCTCCATGAATAAACTTGAGTCTACTAACAATAAAACTATACGCTAAGAGAATACGAAGACTAGAAAATCCACTTGAATTGTGCCATGTTTCAGCACAAAGGGGTCTTGGTTTTTGGATATCCTGCCAATTTTAGCAATCTTGCTTGCCCTAAAGAGAACTGCAATTCCACTTCTGCACAAACCAGCACGATTTAAAATTTAATAATGTCAATCTTCTCCTTCCATTTTTTTATTAGTACCGTAACTGAATAAAGTACACTTACAAATGCACACAAATGTATAATCCACTCCCAGATCTGCAATGGCACCACCAGCTCCCATCTCTGTACAGTAGCTGCTCACTATTTCATTAGTATTACAGCCAACATGCTTTGCTCTGTCTTGGTTCATGCAGTCCTGAGAGCCAGGACATTCTGTACATCTGTTTGCTGTTAACAAAGACACGGAGGAGAAGGAACAGCACATGCACAACACATTTGGTTATAATTTAGCATCAACATGAATGGCAATGAATGGGTCGTCTTCGTCATTCCCAATTAGGAAATTAGCTATACCATCAGCAGCAACATGAACTTCTACTGCTGTACAGAAGTCACCTTCCTTTTGCCCAGAAATGATATCACAGTAAGTGCCAGCAGGCAGACCGGTCTGCAGAGATGCATTCAAAGACCTTTGGAAAAGAATGAAATGCAGTAAGCATCATGAGGACTCTTAAATGCTCTTCAAATTGTATTGGAAACCTCAGACATTAAGTAAGTCTGGAATTATCCTCTAGCACTTCTCTGGACACTGCAGAATCTATTCAATCACTACATGTTTCAAATTGCTCATCACCACAACCTACAGCTACTTATTACAGCCCTGACATACTCCTGTTCTCTTAACATCTCACTCTTGCATAAACTATTTCAATACAGTTTTTAAAACTGTCACATTTAGAACATATTCCTGAGTTTACAAATTCCCTTACTTCTATACATTTAGACTTTGCTGGTTGTGACAGAGTGACACAGCCAGCTCCAGAACTGGGAAATAGAAAGACCACACTACAAGGCTGCCAAGAGTAAAGAGTGTCCATGGTAGAGTGGAAAACGCTATGTTTAAATTGCCAATAACTAGGGCATCCATTAGAAAGATCTATTCAAGATAGCAACATCTTAAAAGGTTTCACTATGAACTAGATTTTTAAAATACATATTTAATACATAATATTTTCTTATAATAAATTATAATTTATTTCCCTTTTACTCACCAGTCATCATTATTGAAGATGATGAAGCCTTTGTTACCACGGCCAAAAGCCACTTGATTGCTGCCATTGTCCCACCAGTTGGAGAAAGGCTCGCCATCCACCACATTACGGAAGATAACCATGTTCCTGAAAACACAAGCAGTGTCTGCCACTGCACCTGCAACACCTCAAAAGCCACATGGAGCAGCAAAAAGCAACTGCTTTTACTTCTTGTTTCTCCCCAGTGCCCTACCTGATTTGACGCCAGCGATGTTCACAAACCCAGTCATTGCCACAGGT